TATATAGAAAATTGAAAATGGTAATAAGATATGGAACGATATATAAAGTGAATATGATTTTTGAATTTGTGTCTGTGCGAAGAGTTTTTAGCTCGGGATCAAACAGCCTTCAGAAAAGATGTTTTATGTTTGTTTGTTTTTTATGTTTTATGTTTTGTATGTTTGTGTATTGTTTATGAAAGGCAATAAAACTTTAATTAGCAAGAAATATAATTTGGATAATAGAATGAAAAGGAGAAGTTGGGATAAGATACGAAGTTGAGTAGATAACGTAAATATCTATACTACAATTTGGAACTATTTTGTACGTTCTATTGGTTTTCTTAGAAAGGATTCTTTATGTTATTATGCCTTGATTGTTTGTGTATTGTTTTTGTAAAACTAATAAAATTTGTTGGAAAAAAAAAAAAGAAACAGCCAAAAATGGCCAAAAAAGGGCCCAGAAAACAGGCTGAAAAACAAGCTGGGGCAGGGCCAGCCAGTGGTAGGATTTGACGGTTCACCTAACTGCACAGCATCTTAACTCCTGGTTTGCTCAAACTGGTGCGAACCGCCTCTGACTTGGATACTACAATGATGGCTAATGCACTGGGGATGTGTATGTGTAAGGCTTCATTCCTTTCTGTACCTACTCACCAGCACTTTGTAGTAAAAAAAACTTTGCTTGTATGACACTCAGTTGACACTGAAGAACTGGGCAAGAATTGCAGATAGTCCTTGACTTATGACAACAACAGAGTCCAACATTTCTGTTGCTAAGCAAGATGGCTGTTAAGTGAGTTTTGTTCCATTTTGTGATATTTCTTGTCAGTTATCAAGCGAATCACTGCAGTTGTTAAGTTACCAACACAGTTGTTAAGTGAATCTGGCTTCCCATTGACTTTGCTTATCAGAGATCGCAAAACGTGTTCACATGACCCTGAAATGTTAGAATTGTCATAAATATGAGTCAATTGACAAACATCTGAATTTTGATCATGTGACCTTGGGGATGCTGCAACAGTTCTAAGTGTGAAAAAACGGTCATAGGTCACCTTTTTCAGTGCCATTGTATCTTTCAATGTATCTAAATGAATGATTGTAAGCCGAGGCTACCTGTATAGAAGAATTAGAAATGTTCAGGGCATGTCCAATGGCATGTACACATTCTATACCAGTGCAAAAAATTACTAAATTTTATCTGTGTATGTAGACCATCCAGCTGACAGTTCACAAGCAGAAGACGATGAAGTAGAAGAACTCCCAAATATGTCTGACTACTCCCTCACGGTCTTATATTCTGTCATTTAGGCAACTTCCAGCCCAGATCAGATCATCCACTATATTGCTTAAAAACATCACGAATCTTATCTACAAGAAAAGAAAAAATAGCACAAGAACCAGGAAAACACTTTAAAAAAAGAAGAAGACATTCACCACTCTAAATATTAGTGTTCAGTGAATCACCCAAGTTGTGCTTCAAATAATCAATCCAAGCTGTTTATTCAATTTAGGGGGATAGAGAGAAAAAAACAGTTGTCCAATTGAATTAAAAAAATGTCCACTCTGATTTGATACTTTAAATTGATTCGGCAGGAGTCAATGAAAGAAATGATTTGATCAAAATCACCTTTTGACTGAAAGTCCGAAATGGCTCTTCACAGAACACGGGTGAATATATAGGGGAAGGATGGAAGAAAAAAATACCCATAGTAGTTCAGCGTTACATATTGTATCAATTGACCCAGTCCAGCAAGAGAAATATCAATAGGTAGAATCATATTTCTAAAGTTGCAAGTAGAAAGAAAAGACATGCATCAGGAGGTGCGTTCATATTGCATTTAGCACCTCTTAGGCTCATTAACTGCATAATATGATAAAGAAGGGAAGATCTATCTCCAATGAAGACCTCAGTAGTTTTATTGCAAGCATGCAACTAAAAGAAGTCTGTATTATCTGGATTAAAATTAAGTAGTTGTTCTTTTTTTAAAAAATGGATTTAATTGCACTCAAGATGTATACATATGACTTAATTTAACCCGTTAACATTCCCCCCCCCTAAAATACATTAATGGCTGCGTAATTTCCTCTTTCAGTTTCTCCCTCCCCCCCCCCCTGTTTCCCCCCCCCCCTTCCCCCCCCCCCCCCCCCCCCCCCCCCCCCCCCCCCCCCCCCTTTTTTCCCCCCCCCCCCCCCCCCCCCCATTTAATGTATCAACAGTTCTAAAGTTAAGCAATGAAAGTAATAAAAATCCAGCATCCTTTCTGAGGCTTCACAAACTGGGAGAGTGGACACACTCCATAATTCCAACAAATTGATGGGTTTTACACAGCCTAAGTGGGTGTATGATTGCAAGTAATGTATCTTGATCTTTAAGTGTCAGGTTCTCAAGCTCAGAGTGAGGATGAGCTGACAGAAATGATATGCCTGGTTATGTTTCTATGCTCTGTTAACGGTGTTTGGGAGCAGATGCCTGTAGCTTTTCATTAGCGTCTTCTCTGGCAAAATGTAGGAATTTTAACCTTTCTTTGCTGGTGTGATGATTGTGCTGTATTTCTGGGTCTTGCTTTAGTTTATGTAGACACCACAATATACAGTGTTAGGGCAACATCTTTTGGTCAAGCAAAGCACAGCAATGAAGCTTGTTGGAGAAAGATGATCACAATGTTATTTCTTCTTCTGCAGTCACAAGTGTTGAGAAAATCCAACAATGTCAGAATACATTTTGAAAAGAAACAGGCAATCATGAACAAATACCTAAAAAGGCTGAAGTAGGTAGATAGAAATTTTGGGGGGGAAAGTTGGGGGATTTTGTTTCAAAGTCAAATGCACACACATACACACACAAACACAAGTGACAGTGAAAATTCCATTGGGTTCTTTGATGGAGGGTATTAAATGAATTCTGCCAATGGCAGGATGACTCTGTCTCATATATGATGAGAGGGAAAGGGGAACAGAGTTTGCATTTAAAATATCTGGCACATTGTATGTCTTGTTGGGAGAGGACGGAACAACCTATGACTTCAATGTAGTTCCTGGACCAATTTTTATGTAACCCCGGAGTCTCATTTGTCTACTAGAAGTTGTGGCACAGTGGTTAGAATGCAGTATTGCAGCCTAACTCTGCCCACAGCCTGGAGTTCAATCCTGATCAGCTCAAGATTGACTCCACTTTCCATCTTTCCAAGATCAGTAAAATGAAGACCCAGATTGTTAGGAGCAGTATGCTGACTGTATGTATCACTTTAGAGAGGGCACTAAAGCACTATGAAGCAGGATATATAAGTATAAATGCTATTACTACTATTGCTAAAAATCAATAGTATGATTACTTATAGCTTTGTGCCATAACTATTATAAAGTTAGAAAGACATTTGGAAAAGACATTTGTAAGCCATTTGGAAAAGTAATTTATATAAACCCAGAAAAAATTGCCCTCCTCCATGTATGAAAAATTCTGACAATCTTATAATATGTTTCTTCCCACTGTGTACCTAAACATTTTTCTAAGTTAACTTTAGCTCCAGGTTACCAAACAATTATCCATTCATTTTCACCTTCCTATTTTATGCACTAAATATGATAAATGTGTTTTGTTTCTCAGAAGTTTAGGTGCACCTAACCATGCTAAATCTTAGAAAAGCCAAAGGATCTGGTTATGTTTGGGTATATTTAGATTAAAGAAGTGAACTTAAGAATAAGGGAGAATTTTCTGATTGTGACAGCTACTAAACAGCAGGACAGGTTCTTTCTGAAATTACAGGTGGTAATCTCCATCACTAGAGATTTTCAAAGTTTGGGCAGTTTTTTATCTGGAATTATTTTAGAATATCTGTCTAAAATTCCTGCCCTAGGCAGGGAGATTATAACCTAAATCATGTTAACCATAATTATGATAGTTAAGGTCATAAGGTTTGATATCCTTTCTCTGTCACAGCTCTCAACTTGTGACCACAATTGGAACCAGGATTTCCATTGCTAAGCAAGGGAATTGTTAAGTAAGTTATACACAGCTTTATCTTCTTTTTTTGCCATAGTTGTTAAGTGACTCATATGATATTGAAGCAAATCTGGCTTCCTCCATTGACTCTTTGTTGGAAGCTGGATAAGAAGGTCAAAAATGCCCCCGGATGCTACAATTGTTGTAAATATATGCTGGTTGCCAATTCCCTGAATTTTGATCAGATGACTATGTGGATGCTGCAGTAGTCATAAGTGGGAGAACCAGTCATAAGTCACTTCTTTTCAGTGCCATTGTAATTTTGAACAGTCGCAAAATGAATGGTTGTGAGGACTACCTGTCATTAACATGATGTTGTATCACGAACTAGCAAATATTTAAAAGCTCTTCTCTGTATTCTGAATAGATACTGAACCATTCATACAATCTGAAGTCTTCTTAATGCATAATGTTAACATGCGGCTTAAAAAGAAGTGTTGCTGGAGCCAAATAGAGTAACAGTATTATCTACAGAATCCTGGGCATTATTGCTCTTCTTGAATAGCCCAGAAATGTCACATGTGTAATCTTTCTAACAATATGGGAAAGGCCATTGTATTTCTAAAGTTCTAAGATACATATTTAAGCATTTGAACATGAATTAAACATAGAGACACAAGAATTATCTTTAGATAGTTTAGAGGAGACAAAACCAGACTTTAATAGACAGGGAGACAACTGATTCCAGTTCCTAAAAATAAGCAATCAGTTTTAAAAGTGGAAAAGTGCTACAGTCAGTGTTGAAACAAGAAAAATAAAACCTTAAACTACATTATTCAAGGAATCACCGAAATGGATGAACTAAATGTTGAACAACTTATAGCAAAGAACAAATCAACAGCAGAGATTAACTATATATAAAGCCCATATTGAAAGAAAGTTTCTTTGTTTCAGATGTGATTATGAAACATTGCAAATTACAAATGATAATTTTCAAGCCAGTCTCCTCTTCTCCTGAAAATTAAGAAATAATCTAGCAGCTATGATCCAGTCTTTCCTTCTTTCATCTGCTTCATTATTGTTGTCCAGTTCAGTTGCAAGTCCATTTCAATACATACACACACAACTTGTTAAAGTCCTTGGCTCCATTTTATCAATGTTCTGACCGATAGGTGGGAAAGGTTTCTGTTCTGTGGATCTTCAGTGGGCTATCTTCTCCAAATCAAACAAAAAGGAGAAAGAAAAAAATGTGTCATTGAATTATCACACGTTCAGGATCTAATCAGTTGGACTGATTGAGTAGCTGCACACTTTCACTGTTAAAACTAAGATTTGAGATGCCCAACAGCATCCTGACAAAGTAAAGTATTTGTTCCCTTCATTCTAATGTTCAGATTTTTATAGAGCTTTGCATAATGCTATCCATTCCATTTGCTCGAAATGTTAAAATGCTAATACAAACCTACTTAACTTTGTCCTCACCCAGAGGTTTCTGCCGAGAGGGCAGGAATCCAGATTATGGCCATAACTATGAACTAAAGCCACATCTTTTTCATGTTTTCATATAGACAGGTGACAGATTCCAAAAACCAAAAGACAGAGATTCTTCAAAACAATTTCTTTTATAGCAATAGCATATAGACTTATATACCACTTCAGAGTGCTTTACAACCCTCTTGAAGCAATTTACAGAGTCAGCCTATTTCCCCCAACAATCTGGGTCCTCATTTTACCCACCTCAGAAGGATGGAAGGCTGAATCAACTTTGAGCTAGTGAGATTTGAATTGCTGAACTGCTGGCAGTCAGCAGAAGTAGCTTGCTGTACTGCATTCTAACCAGTGCGCCACCATAGTTTATAGTTCCTCACCTATAGATAAAAAGTCTTGGCAAACTCAAGCAGATTACTTGCAGCATGAAACAAATATTCTGGGAACTATTAGGGACTAGCCATATTTACCCTCTTTCTCTCACCAAAATGTTCTAAATAGAGCCATGGTGGCACAGTGGTTACAATGCAAGATTGCAGGCTGATTCTGCCCACTGCCAGGAGTTCGATCCTTGCTGGCTCAAGGCTGAATCAGCCTTCCATCCTTCTGAGGTCAGTAAAATGAGGACCCAGGTTGTTGGGGACAATATGCTGACTCTGAAGACTGCTTAGAGAATGCTGCAAAGCACTCAAAAGTGGTATATAAGTCTAAGTATTATTGCTATTGCCACATTGTCTCTTGCTCCTCTGGAATGCATCCCCTCCCTCCTGGGAATCTGGACAACATTCCATCGTATAGGGTAGGGTAGATTTTTGATGATGCAAGTATGGCCACCATCTTGTCTTTCTTGATCCGCTGTGGACCACCCTTCCTGAATAAAAAGAGAATTAAAACATTTCCTTTCTTTCAACCAAAGCTGTTGTTGTTATTATTAATAGTAGAGAAATCCTCTAATGTATTTCATATTTGTGTTTCTCCCTGTGCTGGGCCTAAAATGTAAAACTAGGTTCTAGGAGGAGGAAAGCCATAACAAGCCTATACAAATGTGGGGCTTGGGAGAAACACAAATTGAAGCAAGCACTGAAGTGTTAAGGGTGGGGGGAGACAAAAAGATGGATTTTAAAGGAATACTGAAAAGTAGCTTTACAGCATTCCATTAATAGTTACTAGCTATTATCTTGGGTAGAAGAGTTTTCAGGCAGTCTTCTATTTACTGTCTGGTTATCCAATATATATATATAGCCACCTGACTACATAATGACTCTGGGCATTTTACTATGGTAAAGACAGTTTAGAACAATTAAGCAGTAACAGTGGGGGGAGGAGGGAGGGAGGACCCAGGAAGAGCAAAACAATACACACTTTATGCAAAGCATCCCCTCATCACCCACCCTTGTTTGAGACTTTGTAACATCTTGACCCTCCATTGGGAGCAACACAATGTTGGCTTCTTTCCACATCTAGGCTATATTTCCACTTTGTAGTATATATTTCATTGTGCCCTTTAATGGTTGAAGACGTTCATCCTTGAAGTCCTTATAATATTGGCTTGTGAGACCATCTGGGCCTGGGGTGAGGCCATTTTAAAGAACTCATTCAAATGTGGTCATAGAATGAAGACTCCCATCTCTGGGAGAATACTATTCCAGAGAGCAGCTTTCTGTATCCCATCAGAGGGAACTACTTAACTGACAACAGTTAACAGATAATCAGAGTTGGAAGGGACCTTATAGGTCATCTAGTCCAACCCCCCACCCAAGCAGGAGACCCTACACCATTTCTGACAGATGGCAGTCCAATCTCTTCTTGAAGGTCACAAGTGATGGCGCTCCCACAACTGCTGGCTCATATTTAGCTGGTTGTCCACTAACACTCCAAGATCCCTCTCACAGTTACTGCTATTGAGCCTGGTTTCACCCAGTCTATATGTGTACTGATGGGACCCAAAGCATACCAGCTTTGTCCAATCAAATAGAACAGACATAAATTACAGGAGGCAAGTGGTCCATCTGATAATCAAGTCTCATATCATTATGGCTCTATAGATCATAACTAGCATCTTGAATTGCTCCCAGAAACCAACTGGTTACAGTACAAGTAAACTTATTTTAGAATATCTGTCTAGGATTCCTGTCCTTAACAACCATTCAAAGTTACTATGGACCTCCCCAGATCTACTCACAACTCATTTTTGAATAGAGTAGAGTAGAGTAGAGTAGAGTAGAGTAGAGTAGAGTAGAGTAGAGTAGAGTAGAGTAGAGAATGGGAGTAGAATAGAATAGAATAGAATAGAATGGAATGGAATGGAATGGAATGGAATGGAATAAATAATAATAGA